AATGTAACATGCATGTCGAACTGCCCAGGGCCAATAAAGTGCAGGCATGCGGGCATCAATCAGCATTGACCTTGCGAGTCTTAAAACTACTTTGTTTGCTGCTTCAGATACTCCATTTTGCTCAGGTGTATCTGGAGCGGATACATCAGTACGAATACCATGCTGTTCACAGTGTGATTTAATGCGTAAAAATTCGGTGCCTCCGTCTCTAAAGATTGCGCGGACTTTCTTTCCATGATGATGATGTTGAAATTCAATCCACTGCACAAGAGAAGAGGCAATCTGGTCTTTGGATTGGGTTAATAATGACCATCTCATGCGAGTTTTAGAATCTGTAATTATCACAACATACTGTAGTCCGTTAATTGCAGTGGTAATCTTGCCTACTGTATCTATAAATATTTCATCTAGAGGTGCGTATGGGATTGGTCTAGGTTCTCGAGATACGAATCTTTGGGCTTTGCTGAGGTGACATGTCTCGCATGTTGTGAGCTGACTTAGGTCTATATTTTCGAGTCCCTTTGTGTGTTGGGCGGTTTTCTTTAAGATTTTCTGGCCCGTGTGTCCGAGTCTTTGATGCCATCGTTGTGCACTTGTGGTCTGCGGTATTCTTACAACACCAGGAGCTGCTATATTACTTCGTGATGTATCGGTTTTTTCAAGGGGATAAATGTAGTATACATCATTCTTGCGCACCAGTCTTGCTATGGGAACACTAGACTCGTTGTCACGTTTCTGCACCAGCAGAGACTTTTCTGGATCCGGTACTATGTTGCTGAGCCTCTCCAACCTACCGGCTGACACAATATTGCACGAAGATTCAGGTGAAAGAAAAGTCTCATGGAGCTGGAGCGAAAATGTCCCGATTTTAAGAGTCGCTGTTCCTTGTTGACATAGCTCTCTAGTACCGAGAGCCTGATCGAACTTGAATGGTTCAGGGGAGCGATTCACTTCACTAAACATGGAACGGTGTGGGACGAAGTGGTGCGATGCACCTGTGTCATAGAGTGTAACGGATTCATTCATTCGAGATGATGCAGCAATTATCACCCCTCCTGAGTCTGACTCACTATCGTCTCCTACGCTATTGACTGAGGCCTGTTTGCCATTGCCCCTGTTTACCCCAGAACGGTTATTGCTTCCCTGTGCCAATTCTGGGTGTAGACGATAACAATACTTATTCTTGTGCCGATGTTTGCACCTCTTGCAGTATGCTTCTGGGTCTACGTTGATACTGTTGGGTACGACCGCAGCCACCGTGTTGGGTGTCTGGGTCCGATTGCCTGCTACAGATCGCAAAGAAGACATCAGAGTTCGCAGTGGTGCATACTTGTTGTCGGAATCGAATGCTCTTGTATCACGCCAAACATTTAGCCATTCGATCCTCTTTGTTCCCATCACAAAAATGGCTGATGCTTGACCGTCACCTATGCGATACCCAGAGGCTAACGGCCGAGTAGAAATTGCATCGGCCGCGTTGTTGACACTCTGGTATGCTGCTAGGAAACGGTCAACATAATCATCAGCAGTACTAACAAACCTGATGCTCAACAGTGTTTCGAGTGCTGCAGCATATGGTGCGGTTGCAGTTTCATTCCTGGTCCCGGCTACAGTGTCGTAGAGTTCTTTGGCCGTCAGGTTGTCATAATGTTGGGGGCAGATGGTCGTAGAAAGTCGTTGGGTGATGATATTTTTTGCTTCGATTTCTCCCAAAGTCCAGCGCTCGAATTCATCCAGGTACTTTTCCGTGAGTTTATCGACATCTTCGGCGTTTGGGCTCCCTAATAAAGGATCTGTAGGGATGTTGACTGGACGGATCCCAGGCATGTCATGAAAGATATGTCCCAGGACGTTTTTGCGTCCAAGTTTAGCACGCAATGCCATTCTCCAAGCGATAAATGAGATACCGTTACCAAGAATTTCCTTTGGATCAGTCATTTTCATGATGCTTAATCTGGTTTTTCACAATGGTTAGCTAACTCCTGTAAGTATGTGGATGCGCCGGGCTCATAACCTGTTGTGATAGGTCTATGATTCGGGTGTACATACAATTTGTGGGAGCTCGCTGCTAGTGATCACAGATGTGCTGCTGGGCCGGACAGGTCAAGAAGAGGAGTGGAGAATGATCTCTGTAGAATGAGGAAAGACTGTATTACTTACTCTATCTACTGTGGAGGAAAGCTCTCTACTTATAGTCCCTAGACTATTGCTTACTAATTATACTAACTCAACGAAGCAGGAGCAAACAGAGCAAATGCATGCAGTCGCGTGACCATCATAACTGGAGCTGTGCACTGTAGCTATGTGGGTCTAGGCACAACAAGATCCAATTCTTCGTAGCGGCTCGGTCTGTGATCTAGCCACCAGGATTTCACTGCTTCTTCACATCTTTGCCAGACAAATAGAGTGAGGTCTGCGAAAGTGTGTTTAGGTCTATCCCTCATTCCTGAGGGAGATGTGTCCGTTTCATCCAGTAGGTTCCCGAGGGCTTCCTTGGCCAGTCTGTCTGCATCTTTATTCCCCATGATCCCAGCGTGGGCTGGTATGGATCAGATCTCAACTGATCTAGCTTGTCGTGCCAGTCTTGTGAATATTTCCACTGCAGCCTGGGAAGATTTCGTTTGGCCGGTTCTTAGAGCTCTCACGACTGTGGAGTTGTCGAGCAGCACCTTTATCTGGCGGTCGCTTGCTTTCCTCATGGCTCCTTCAAGGGCTTTTTGTGCCACAGAGATTTCGGCGTCGTAAACCTCCGCTCCTAGCAATGGACCGGAGTCACTCTCAATCTCTTAGCCTCCTTTTTATGAGGTCAATACCCATACAGACATAGCTGGTACACATGATGAGCCGTCTGAATAAGCGCAAACTGCCTCGGTCGGTAGGCTTGCTATCCATTGCTTAGCGTAAGCTACTTCGGCCTGAAAGTCCGAGCCAGTAATTTTTCTGATAGACTTGGCTTTTGGCAAGTATAATTGGTCGGGTCCTTCGATGTAACGGCTAGTGAGCCGATAATTGTCCTGTATCACGTGGTGTTAATCACGTGCCTCAACAATTCTGTGAAAGGCGAAACTTCTCTCTAGTTTATTCTGAACATGACTAGAAGATTCTAGCAACTGGCAGTAAGACTGTGAACTGGTATCAGGGGAACATAACAGAAGCTAGTATCAGACAGGAAGGAATATCCTAGATAGCCTAATAAGTGTATAAATAGTTGAGTTAGGACACACATATTATGGTATAGAAAATAATAAACAACCTTCGTATATTTGATCGCCCCAGAATCTATACCTCGAACTGTGATATTCGGCCATCAGCACATCTTTGGCGCTGATCTGAAGTAGCGTGAGGTACCGTTCTTGGAACTTGGATGACCGGTTCTTCTGACCTATGCGGAGGCCGAGGCGGCTTTTTGTATCCTTTGGGCCCTCTCTAGACCTGGATACTAACGGATGCCATGCGTCCAACCTTTGAATCCGTGCAGCCACTAGTATTTTTCTCTGCTGTAAGATAACAGTAGATTGGGGGATGCCAGACTCTCTGTGTAGCGCCACCTTTGGCATGGTTCACCACGCCGTTAACGCCGCTCGAACTGCCTGCGGGCTTCTGCTGTCAAGGAGATCAGTGAGCTAGCCTACTCCTGTAACAGCCTTTTTTCCCCGCTGAGTTGTGATTCGGGTGAGCTCTGGCCACCACACTTCTGCTCCATATAGCGCTGTACTAAGGACATAAGCCTGCATTAGTTTAGATACTAGTAAAGATGCTTCGCACGGTATTATGTGCTAGAAGATAGAAAGATGTATAGAGAAAAGATGGTTGTGTGCTGTCGACTCAATATACTGCGGACCACACCTAAATCGCTCTCCCATGACCCTTGCAGGTTCACAACATACTCATCCCACCAATTATTGCGCGGCTATTCCTGTTTATTCAGCAGTCTACAATTACATCCTTATGATGCACAATAGCATAACTTTTATGCAGGTTTGTATAAACAATTCTGTGCTATTCCTAGACTATTGCATTGGGGTACAGTTCATTGGCAAGATGTAGACCATCAACATGGACGTGGAACCTGGTAATTACGCAAATTAGGGCATTGAAGAGCGTAATAGAATAGCCTCATGAGCTTGGGGCGGGTGACAAGGGGCTACAGAGATATATGTTAAACCATAAATCTATGATTGGTGATGTGGAACGGATAAGTGAGTTTGTTTGTTTGTATTATTTTACGTCTAATTAGAGTGAGCCTTAGCCCTTCGCTCTATAAACCCAACCAGGTAAAGGACGCAACGGATAAGTGAGTTCTTTTGATGGGTAATCGCCTTCTCTATCTGGCACGGTTCTTTACGGTCACTTGACCCTCGCATATTTGTGCTGTGAATTCTTACGTACTCTATTGTAACTCAAGTCTACCATATTTGGACAATCTCATTTTGCGTTTCTAGAATTCATACTAAGAAGACCAAGAGGGTGTCGAGGATTGCTTAGGCTCCTTTGTTGCTGGCTTACACTCAATCTCTTCCCCTTTAACCAAAGCTTTTACCCAAAGAATTTCCTTATTAATTGTACCTCCCACTTTGACTGTGACATCTATAACTTCTGGACATAAGTATTAGTAGGGAAAAATGGGGTTTTAGAATAAAGTTGCAAACCATTATCTTCCACATATTGTTGTTTATAATTTCCTACAGCAAAAAGTTCATTGGTTCCGTAATTTTGCTCATTATTTCGAAGTTTCAATTCGTGAGCCTCATCAAAAGCGTATTGTATGTAATATCCATGAATAAATGATTGACCACAATTATAACTCGAAGCGGCAAGTACAGGTGTCAAATGATTTAGAATAGCGGCGAATGAAATAAGACCGAAGATTTTTATTTTTGCAGCTGTTTTATGTAACTATTATTGCTTATATTTGGTAGAACGACTGGATTTGTTGATAATTTTGATGTTTCAGATTAATCGGCTTCTATGAAAACAGAAATAGTGGGAGCTTTGTGTGATTATGAAGCAGTCTTCTTCGAATGATATGGGAAGCTCTTGATCTGAAAATAAACTTTGAAGTTGGAACTGTCTCTCTTATACACATAGTAGATGGTTAACTCCGATATTGGATAATAGCTTACCACATATCGGCTAGTCATTTCTTATCGTCCCATAATCTGTTGTTAGATTATTTAGGCCCTAGACTGTGAAATGAAGTCTCTTATTCGAAGTGAGGTGTGGAAAGCTAGACAGGGACATGCATTAAGAGATGGCACGAATGCTAGAGGGTTTTATTTTCATTGGCAGGATCAGGGCAAAGCACCGGCATAAGCCAAAGTCACCCAGGGATTTAAGGAGTCATCTAATCTCAGCCAGAAGAGTGTGGAGCGATCCAAGCAGCCTGCATCCTCTTGGACGGGATCCTCATATCTCGCCCCGAACCTGAAAAGGCAGAGGAACTAGAAAGATTGACAAGACAGTGCGGACACGTTATAACGATACTCGATATAGAGGTAGTCGCCCTTTAACAATGTCTTCTTCGCGCAAGCATTACGTTCTCATAGTAAATCTAACAAATCACCAATATTTGGTAAATCGATGTCGCCGTCGCCATTTTATTGTTATTGTAATGGATATGTAACATATTCCACGTGACTAACTATTACGTAACACAAGTATATATACATAGTTAGAACACTTAATATAAACTTCATGCTTCTGCACTACAGTTATATCCAATGACCGTCACATGATCATGTAACCACTGTCATTGGCTTGAGCCTGATTATATTTAGTCTTGTGCCTTATAATCAAGGCATAGATAACTGTTCCCTAGTTTGATTCCAAGTATGTCATGCACTTCTCCACATGACTCATTAGGCCTGGTAGAAGTCTGGATCCACCTCATGCAAATACATTCTTAAATGGCGACTAAGATTACAGACAAGACCACGAGAATAATGGCGTAGAGGAGGAGGACACGCTTATGGATACCATTGCTGCACATACTATGCCACAACAGGATGATGAGGAGGCAGCTGAGACGCATGCTATGATTAGTCAAGCACTTAATGTCCTCAATCGCCTGCTCAGCTTCAAGGAGCATGAGACAGATGCCAACTCCATGAATCTCACGTGACTCATGCACATTGAAAGAAGCCTCCAGCAGCAGTCAGATCCTAATAAAAGCCAGGGGACATTAAATGGCTGTTTTTATCAAGGAAATAAGGACCCCTCAGTCATTGAGGTTGTAGAGCGCATTGATTCAAGTAACTACCGAAGTGAGACTAAGTACAGAATTTGACGTCACGTGTGTACCAACAACGTGGCCTACTTGATAGCCCCAATTATTCTAAATTCTAATAGTTTTAAATGAGATGTGTGAGATAGAACGATATCACGTTTGATATGCGAGGAAGCGAGATGATTTTTTATTCATTTTATTGTCTTCTCTGAGTCCATGACTATGAAGAACATGCAGGACCTATCTACTTACAGGCCAAGGATACCTATACCAGTAGTATATCCCCTCCTACGCCTCCAATACAGCTCCCCTCAAACAGTACCACCCCTCACAAGTCCCCATTCGATCATAAACTCAGAGGAGCCCTTTGCCTTTCATTATCTCCCCTCTCCAGCCAACAAAACGATGGCCATTTGCGGGTGTATGGCAGCCGGGAAAGATCGCAAAAACCACTGGGTGCGGAGCTCTCCTAATACCGACATTCGGACTAAATCCGAAGACACAGTGATCCTTCTGATGCGTTCGAAGAGGCCGGCCAGCTGGGCGCTGCAGACTTGCGTGTACCTCGGGAAATTCACCATCTGCCTTTCAAGCCTCCTTCCAACTCCTTCTCGAAGGTTGTGCTGAAATGTCAGAAAATTCTTGACAGAGCGTGACTGCTGTGTAGCAGCTTAGCACGACTTCTTTTGTGCCGTCCAGGGCGCTGGGGAGTGCTGTTGACTCATCGACAGAAGAAGCCCTCCTGGCTAATTAGCCGAAATCTCGGTCTTGGCGCCCACAAAATATCCAAAGTTTGCGATCCCCTCGAAGACATCAGTGGAGGGCAAGACTGAACACCTGTACGCGGTGTCCTCTACGAACCTGGGAGTGAAATATTCTCCCAGAGCCAAGTTCAGTCAAACTTCGCAATACTGAACAAGTTGGCCCACGAGGCAATGATTCAAATTACTCCACCATATCAATCTTTCACTCCCAACGAAATCGATTCCTACCTAAACCTCATCAAGTTTACAAGTACGACCTAGTACATCCTAATCCCAATGACCACACCTCTTGTCGACTTTCTCTGGCCTTAGCTGGTCGCCAGATACACGCCCACGCCGATATTTACACCCGACGGAGGAAGCAAAGCGTGGCGCACAAATCTGGAAGACAATTCCTTGGGATGGATGTGAGAGGGATCAGGACAAGTTAATAAGATGATGCAGAGGATTGGATACAGTCTCGACGGGCGTGGAATTCTGAATTTTGGAAAGGAGTTTTTACAAATTGAGCTTTGTGCGTGCCAAGTCTTCGGCTGCGAGAGTGCAGGCGACACTATAAAAACTGCCATGGTTAGATGGTGCGGTGGTACATCGTCTTGGCCGGTCTGCCAAGTAGAGTCTGGATAGCTTGGACACATATCCCACTTGAGACAGTAGATCGCTGGTTCAAATCCGGCAAAACACAACCACATTTCTCGCGGCGCTGGTATGCATGGATGACGAAGGCATGCTTGGATAATCAAAGGTTTTTAAATTCCCTTTGGTGGGTACTAACGGAGGAGGGTCGACTGTTTGTGTAAGCAAACATACCTCATAGTGGTATTTGCAAATGAAATCCAGAGTATGAGTGTCTCTAATGTCAAAAGAGTCATCCCACATGTTTACATAGCGCCGGTCATGTGTCATAGCTAGATAGCTGAATACACATTAAATGATTTAAAAAAAAAAAAAAAAAAAAAAAAAAAGAAGACATCAGTCTCAGCATGCTCTTCTTAGGCCTGTTCTCCCTCAAGTTGTTTGTTCCGTTAGAGCAACAGTCCCCCACAAGCCAAGACCCAGGCTTTGTATTTTTCTACTTGATTTCCTTCTTGCGGGTATAAATAGCGTCGTAAATATGTAATGAGAGACGGCTGGAAATTAATGGAGCAAGCTCCTGTTTACAATTGGAGCAACTTCTTTATTGGTCGTTGAGACGAGATGATGCGTGGTTAGAGAGAGGTTGAGGACTCAGATGAGAATGGTAAGAGAGGCATTGTCGAGAAGTCGTCAAATGTAGATATCCTTGAGGTTGCTTTTGACTTTGATTCGGATGCGATTCTTCTTGGCTATCCCAAATACGCAGAGCATTCTGAGCGATTACACCGGCACCACTGGAAGGTGAAGAATTCGTATTTGCCGGCAACAATATCACGTTATAACGCTACAAAATAGCGGCACGGAACCACATCGTTACAACGAGTCCGCACTGTAGCAGGATTTGAACACCTGGGTTGGGAAAATCTCTTCAAAGCGTGTTTCCTCAACTCATTCCATAAATTATCAGGCTTTGTACCTTTGGCATGAACTTAGTCTGATGGTGTACCAAGCTCCCCAGATACTATTTCTCCTCCAGTTGAGAACTCTCTTTAACATCTAGATCGAGATGGATTTATCCATCACTATCCAGTAGAATCAAATTTGAAGTCGACAAACATTAAATCGATTACAATGAATTCCAAGGATACCACTAAAATCGACATTATCCCTCGTCAAACTCGAAGGAGTCAATGATCGCGTTTGTGAGAATTACTAAGAGGCGCGAGATATATCTAAAAAGTTCGGCAAGAGGCAAAGGTATATTTTCATAATCCTCGCTACATCTAAATACCGGAGACAAGGACAATGGAAAACAGAAGGCAAGACGTGGACCTCTGCAATGGGTCTGTCAAATCTATATACACCAAAGTAACCAGAGCAACAAAGGCCCTAATTTGTACGCCTGATACCATTCTCTTATTCCATACACAGCCCAAAGCAACACTTGTAGCCCAGTAACCGTTTCTATCCTGAGTCTCCGACATTACCCTTTCCTTTTTCAAAGTCCACATTTGGAGATGCGCGGTGCATCTGGATAAGACTTTTGTAAAGCTGCCAGTAATTCCTACGGTTGTCTAGATGTCCAAGAGGTTCCCTAGTTGTATCATTTGTATCCGTATATCCTGCAAAATAGGGGGACTTGTTGGCAAGTTACGGTAAACGTGCGTAGAAGGCAATAAAATAAATCTGTTGGAGAAATAGATCATGATGAGTAGAAAGAACGTGGAACTCCTTTTCCTAAAAGAAACGTGCGAGGCAAGGAGCAGTGTACAAGGTGTAGCCTGGGTCTGAGAGGAGCTCAATGTGCTAGATATCCATAGACTCAAGTAGTACAATAAACACAAACACACACAATTGTGAAGAAACGACCGTCAACGAGATGAGGAGATGCTGAGATGAGCCAGAGCTGGGAATGAATCGAAGGGAAAAGTTACAGATCGCGAAGGTGTCAAGGGCTCGTGCGCGCAAAACTGTACATCATCATGTCACGGTTTGGCCGTTGTATGAGCTTCGGTGGATACCTGCGCGTAATACTTGGATTGTTTACAATAAGGTCGCACGGGGAGGAGAAGATGGAACTAGACGAAACGATAATACTAATCAGGACGCAAGATCGCTGTTACAACTAAGTAACACCCAACGATAATAGTTCACCACTATCATCATCCCATACACGCACATTAGTACCCTTATTCCGGTTTCTAATAACCCGTAAGATCAAGCAGCACCATGGCTGCGCAAAATCAGCCGTCGTCCTCGCCCTCAATCGACCCAGGCGACCAATTACACCCGAGCCTTCTTGGGACTGCTGCTGCTGCTGCGATGGAGCAATCAGAGCGCGAACAAAAGCAGAGAATGAGCCTAGCTCAACATTTTCTGCAAAATATCGACGCCTGGGCAAAATCCAAGGCAGGTCGGAAGGCGCGGTTCTAGTCGCGCCTTTCATCGAAAAAATATCACTTATAGTGACAGCGTTTGCCATAGGAAAGGCCGATGCCACAGTCCCCAAAGACAAGAGCCCACACCCCGAAGTCACGGAGATAACAACCTCTGCGCCTAGGCCGACAAAAATAAGCCATAAGTCGCACCACCAACTGCCTCAAAGGCCACAGGAGACAGCGAACCCGTGGGTTACAGTAGCTGGGAAAGCGGCTAAGTTCCCAGATCCACCCATATTCCCCACTCCTCGAAGGCCTACTACAGATGTAAAGCCTAATGCACAAAACCCCCCAAAAGAAGACAAACGTCTCTTTGTCAGATTGTGGCAAGAACATGGCTGGCGCAAACTGTCTCCAGTCACAATAAAGTTGATCACTGTGAAAGCTGGAGTTGCAGCATCTGCGATCACGGCTATGCATCAGGTTCGATCAGGCCTAGCACTGGAGTGCGCATCAGACGGGCTTCGAGAAACTAAACTGGGAGTTGTAGGAAAATTCCAGCAAGAAAACATCTGCACAGAAGCAGCGTCGGATTGGACGTCAATGATAGTGCCACATGTACCACATTATTTCAGAACACTCGAAGGCATTATTTCGGTCACTAACGAATGTGTTACAACAAAATTTCAAGCTAGATGTGGCGTCACACCAGTGCAGGTGCGACCAACCCGAGCTAGGCTCGGACAATATTCTACCAGTTGGATTATTCACTTCAAACAGAAACCAGCAAATAGTAATTTCAGGCTCTTCAACGAGAGCGGACCAGCGATTCTGTTCGTTCGCCAACGCCCCATGGAACAGTGTCGGAGATGCTGGGGATTTCACAACATACGGTCATGCGCTAAAGGACAAAGGTGCGGAAGATTCACCGGAGTACAAGAGACAAATGAATATCGATTCAAGGTACCAAAATGTGCAAATTGCGCAGGTCCTCACGAATCGACCAAACCGAACTTCATGGCGTGACCTAGGCGCCAGAACGGAATATTCCACCCCCGCACACCAGCGGAATTAAGAGTTATTCGAGAACATGGACATTGTGACTTTCAGGATGCATTAGCAGAGTCGGAGAAAAAGGGTAAGGCGCCAGAGGCCGTGCTCACCCTGGAAGACACGA